GGTACAGATGTAAGTGCAGAGAATACAACCAGGAGAAAAACGGTTTTAAAAATCTGGCTTTCATGGAGCTTACATTCTATTGGAGTGAGACATAGTGAACAAATAAGTAAAACCTGTAGTGATCAGTGCTACAGAAAAGAGGTCTGTTGTGGATGCTTAGGAGGGGACTGCAGTTGTATGTGGGGTAATTTAGGAAGGCTGTGCTACAAACATGCTATTTCACCAAAGGTAGTGAAGGAAGCTGCCATGTGGATATCTGGGCTAGAAGTGGTGCTGTTATAGGGGACAGCCAGTACCAAGGCCCTGAGGTAGGATCTGGACTGGTATATTAGAAGGTCTGAAGGCTTAGAAGGCCAGTGGCTAGAGAGAGATGAGTGGGAAGAGAGAAAGAAAAGGTTGAGAGGTAGCTGAGTCAGTGACTAATACTGTAGAACTCTGTAAGCTATTGCAAATGAAAACTTTGGCTTCTACTCTGACTAAAAAAGGAAACTAGAGGAAGGTTTCCATGAGAGGAATGGTGTGACCTTTTTAACAGATGCATGTGGATCCTTGACAAATATATAGCATTTTTTTGATATTTTTAAATTGTATATAAATGGCATTTTGTGTATACCTCACCTGCTTTTACTTTTGCTCCCTAATGTTGATTCTGAGATATACCCAAGTTTGTATCTGTAAATCTATTGTATTATTTCTGACTGCTGTGTCATATTTTATTGTGCATACAGCACATTTTACTTATGTATTTCTCTAGGCACAGACATTGGCACAGTCCCCACTTCCTGCCGCAAACAGTCCTGTGATGCACGTGTTCACATGGGCTCCTTATGGACTCAGAAAATTGTTTCCTAGAGGTGTATACCTGGCACCCTATGGGGTGGGAAGGTATGTGCGTTCTTAATTCCAATGGGATTGTGCTTCAGGATGGTGACCCAGTGAAACTCCCCCCAGCAGTACATGATGGTTTGTATCTTCTCACTGAATTCTCATGCTGACCTAGTGAGGGAGGTCAGGTGAAGGCCCTTGTGGCTAAGGAGACTGAGGCTTAGAGAGAATGAGGAAATTCCCCAAGTTCATGTGGTCACAGAGAAGAGCCAGGGCTCACATGCAGCATTTCTGACATAGTATTCACTGTTCTTAACACTGTAGTACCTGGCACTGCTTTTCCCAGAAATAAGATGAGGCATCCATAGGCCAATTTATCATCATCATCATCATCATTATCATTGAATTTGACCCTTATATTTTTCAGTTTTTGGCCTAACTCAGTGAGCCTAGGACATGTTTAGCACCAGCATGGAGGAGGATGTCTAATTAGAGACTTAGAATCCTTAGAGTTTCAAGACAAATTATACAGAAAATGAGGGCACACAGGCTGTAGTTTTAGTGAATGATTTTGAAACTAAACACTTATACAGACTAATTGATTTTCAATTTGGGGATTTGGGTATTAAGTCCATATGGTTTGCTAAGCACTGAGTTAAGTAATTTCCAGGCAGGCATCATTTCACTTAGTCCTCACAACTACACTAGGGGGAATTTACTTTTATTCCCATTTGACTATTGTGGAAACTAAAGCCCCAAGAAGTGAACTAATTTGTACAGAATCAACAGCTGTGAGGTTTAATTGTTATTTGAACCTGAACCATCTACCTGCAGAACCATACTCTTTACTAATAAATTGTGCTGCCCTTCTGTGAATTTTGCAATTTCTTCTCTTTGAACTTCAGGACAGTTTCTACTCAGGTGAGATGGTTTAGAGCAGTCATGGGAAGTCCAGGGCTAGTGGACAAGAATCTCCAGAGGAAGAGGATCTGAAGTTTGAGTATGTCCCCAGGTGTCTTCACTAGGCCTCCTTTTGTCCCTGAAGTGAGAACCTCTTCTTAAGACATCCTACCTGGATTATGGCACTTGAGCATGATGCCTTCAAAATAGTAGGAATTCTCTAACTGAATGGTTGGTTGCCTATAACCCCAGGAAGCCTCATATTTTTAAACAAGCTTCTTCAGAGGCAAACAATTCTTTATCATCCTATGTGGCTCATAACTGACACACAGTTATGGATAATGTGTGAATAATGGGCAGTCAAGGTTTTATTGCAACTGGTTTTCCCTCCACACTTTTCTTTTGCTTGCCCTCTACAAGGAAGGTGATAGCATTTATATCTTTACTTGATGCAGGTATCTAAAGCTTGTCTGGCTAAAAGTATGTATCTCAAAGTCAGGTAGATAGGATTATGTGCTCTCTCAGGTTACTCTTCACAGTGTGGTCATTTGGTTAACAACTAGTTACTGAGCACTTAACTTACAGTCTGAAGGAGGAGACAGGCAAGATGACTGGGATTTGGATACATTAGGATAAATGGCAAATGGGGGAAGCCCAGGTGCTCTGAGAGCACATAGGAAGGGCAGCATAAGGTCTGGGGAGGCTTCCTGAGGAAGCACTCTTGAGCTGGGAACTGAAAGAGAAGTGGAGATTAGCTAAGTGAAGGGGCTAGGAAGGCATTAGAGGCAAGGGAACAGAATGAGTGTAGAATTTAGCAGCTGGAGCAGGAACTGGGCAGGGGATGAGGCTGGAGGAATGAGCACAGTTCAGATGATGAAGGAAGGAAGGACTATGAGGGAAGGGCAGTGGGAACCACAGAAGGGTCTGAAGCCTGGGGGAGGGGGAGGGAGCACCTCAGTCACATATATAGTGTAGAAGGTTTCCATGAGCGAAGAACTGTGCCTTCTTATATATCTTGGGTGTTTGTTGGTAAATCATAACATTGGAACTGGTGAGTGGCAAATAAGGAGTCTAGATGGATTTGTAGACATCTTATGGGGCTGACCCATAAACCAAGAGTTCCTTTTAAGGAGACAGAACATGAAAGACTCCTAACTCTGGGAAACGAACTAGGGGTGGTGGAAGGGGAGGTGGGCGGGGGGTGGGGGTGACTGGGTGGAGGGCACTGAGGTGGGCACTTGACGGGATGAGCACTGGGTGTTATTCTGCATGTTGACAAATTGAACACCAATAAAAAATAAATTTATTTTTTTAAAAAAATAAGTCAATCAGAGAAGGACAAACATTATATGTTCTCATTCATTTGGGGAATATAAATAATAGTGAAAGGGAATATAAGGGAAGGGAGAAGAAATGTGTGGGAAATATCAGAACGGGAGACAGAACATAAAGACTCCTAACTATGGGAAACAAACTAGGGGTGGTGGAAGGGGAGGAGGGCGGGGGGTGGGGGTGAATGGGTGATGGGCACTGAGGGGGACACTTGACGGGATGAGCACTGGGTGTTATTCTGTATGTTGGCAATTGAACACCAATAAAAAATAAATTTATTATTAAAAAATAAAAATAAAAAAAGAGTCCCTTTTAATTATCTATGGAGAAGATCTCTCAATTTCAACTTGATCTTTCAGTCTTTTAAAACCTCAGACAACATTCTTATGATTCTCTCAAAACCAAAGCCTAAGCACAGAGGAGAGTTGGGGTTCTCTGTTCTCCATTTCTGGGGCTTTGCAGTGAAATATTCATCCAAAGCTTTTCTCAAATGGAGGGGACAATTTGAATAGCAGCAGGTGGGGGAGGGAGTAGGAAGAAAAACATGCAGGGTCTCCAGGCCCCTGGCAGCTGACATCACAGATGGCACAGGGTGTGTAGAGAGCACAGTGTGGCCAGTGAGGAGACTGTTTGCGGAAGTGAGCTCACCTTTTCTCCTGGAACCCAGAGAGGGAGGAGACAGAAGGAAGAATTGTTTAGGTTGTGAGCTACTGAATGAGGTGACTCATTTATTTTCTTTCTACACATCACATTCTTATAAATGTGTACATAAAAACTATAACAAACTTTGCCTGGTTGCTTAGGGTGAGATGTATTGAATGCCAGAATTCACAAAACTGTCTTCCTGGCTTCTTTCCCTTCTCAGTCCTGGATCCTGGGGTGGCTGATGCTCCCATTTCTGCAGTATTTACTTCCCAGGCAGCCTGGTCCTCTCCTTCTTGCAGGTGGTCATGAAGGCCCTGCCCCTTTATCCCTTCTCCTTTCTGTTCACAGCAGAGCCTAGGTGGATAAAGGGAAGGGGTGGACTGTACACTCTTGGCCATCAGTAGAGCTGAATGCATGAGGCAGAATGAGGAGAAAGGGGGGGGGAGTGCCATTTGACCTTGGATAGCTGATATAGAGGCTAAGGGTTTTTCGGTTTGTTTTTTTAAGATTTTATTTATTTGTTCATGAGGGACAGAGAGAGTGAGGCAGAGACACAGGCAGAGGGAGAAGCAGGCTCTCTGCAGAAGCCCAAAGTGGGACTCAATCCTGGACCCCAGGATCACGCCCTGAGTCAAAGGCAGACACTCAAACTCTGAGCCACCCAGGCATCCCGAGGCTAAAAGTTTTAAGATTGAAGGATCAATATTTGTATGTTAAAGCTAGATTATATTTTAAAATGAATTCATAATTGCAAAGAGGCATCTAGCTGATTAATTAATGTGTCATAACTCACACTCAGGCACCATGCATATTCCTGTATGTGAACTCCTGCACTATACATTCATTTCATGTTAAGTCTTAAAGTTTAATTAGTACATGAAGCTACAGGAATTAGATGAATGCAATGGGATGATACATGTGTGGTGTGTAAAAATGGTAAATGTTGGAAAGTATTTGTACCTTTTTTTCTGGGGGAAAAGCAGTGTTGATATTTCAATGAAGTCTTTGGTGTCCGCTTATATGCTATTTGGGTTGCAACAGGTGACATGGCACTTCTGAGTTTGGTTGGTGAGCCGAATAATGGGCTCAGTAAATATTGATTTGCTACCATGTCTTAGGCATTATGGAGAGGCAGCACAAGAAAAATATGAAGCAGCAGCTTTGAAGCCTGAACAACAGAACTCACCATCCTCAACCCAACTGAGCTTAACTCAGCCTCACTGAACCCGATCTGAGTCTCTCCGAACCCTGCACTTGCTACAACTCTGATCCTACAATCCTCTTCAATCCCAGCAAGAATGCTGTGTCAGGCACTTCGCAGATTTGGTCAAAAGCTGGTACAGAAACGTAAACTGGAGAAGCCAGAGGCTACAAATAAGCAATCCAGAAGCCTGAACACTGTGGAATTAATGGTCCTGGGTTTGGACTACATACTAGATATAAGTGTGTATTTCCTGGCTGGTGAGGTAGCTAGAGATATAGCAGGACCATCTACTGTGATCTGCTTTTTGGTGGCCGGCCTAGTTTCAGTGTTGGCTGGACTGTGCTATGCAGAGATTAGTGCCCAGGTTCCACACTCTGGCTTTTCATATCTCTACACTTATGTCACTGTAGGTGAACTTGGGGCTTTTGTCACTGGCTGGAACCTCATCCTCTCCTTTGTTGCCTATACAGCTCTCGTGATCCAGGCCTGGACCTTAGCTTTGGACAATCTGTTTGGGAACCAAATCTCTCAGGCCCTGACTGAGAGCATTTCATTGCATGTTTACCGTGTTTTTGCAAAAATTCTAGGCTTCTTTGCCATGGGCCTGGTGTTGTTGCTAATAGAATTGCTGACTCTGAACATTAGGCAGCTTTTTTTGGTTTCTAAAGTGGTCACAGTGGTGAACCTTTTGGTTGTCAGTTTTGTCATCATCTCTGGCTTCATGAAGGGGGACCTGCACAACTGGAAGCTCACAGAAGAGGACTACATAAAGGCTGGACTCAATGAGACATCTAGCCTGGGTTCTCTGGGCTCCGGAGGATTCATGCCTTTTGGCTTCCAGGGGATTCTCCGTGGATCAGCTACCTGCTTCTATGTATTTATAGGTTTTGGATATATTGTTGACATAGTAAAAAGAACCCAGAATCCCAAGCGTTCCATCTCCATGGGTATTGTGATTTCATTGCTCATCTGTTTTTTGGTGTATTTTGGTGTCTCTGTGGCACTGACTCTTATGGTGCCTTACTACCAGCTCCGACCTGGAAGCACCTTGCCTGAGGTATTTGTTCATATAGGATGGGCCCCTGCTTACTATGCTGTAGCTTTTGGATTCCTCTGTAGTCTTTCTGCAAGCTTCTTGGGCTATATGTTCCCCATAAGTCAGGCTATATATGTGATGGCACAGGATGGCCTCCTCTTTCCTGTCCTTGCCAGAATCAGAACTGGCACATGTGCCCCCATCATGGGTACCATGATCTTTGGCATTACTGTAGCAATCATGACATTCTTCTTTGGACTCACTGATCTTGTGGACCTCATGTCACTTGGGGCCCTGCTAGATTACTCCCTGGTGGCTTTTTATGTTCTCATCCTCAGATATCAGCCTGAGATGGAGAGTGGAGGAAATGAAGCACAGGTGCAGGAGGAGAATGGATCTGCAACAGAGAAGCTCACTCTACACCGAATATTTTTTCCAGACAGCTCCACCCCCACTCCACTCTCTGGCCAGGTTGTCTCTGTTTGCTCCTCACTGCTTGCTCTATTGCTGACTCTGCTCTGCCTGGTCCTGGTGCTGACCCAGTGGCCAGGTCTGCTTTCTGGAGACCCAGTGTGGATCACAGTGGTTGTGCTGCTCCTGGTGCTCATCACTGGGATCACTGGGGTCATCTGGAGACAGCCACAGAGCTCCTCTCCCCTTCACTTTAAGGTACCTGGTCTGCCTCTCCTCCCACTCCTGAGCATCTTTGTGAATGTTTGTCTTATGATGCAGATGACAGCTGTCACCTGGGCCCTACTTGGTGTTTGGATGCTGATTGGGTTTGCTCTCTACTTTGCCTACGGGATCCACTATAGCCTGGTCTCTAACCATACTTAAGTTAGGGCCAAAATTGTAGACCTGAACTCAGCAGTACCAGTACATATTTGGTTGGACATTATCATACCTGAATGCAATCTGATTCCCCTGCACAACAATGGGGAGAACTCTTGAGCTGATGGAATGTGGGGCTTCCCATGGATAATTGGTAGGAAAATACTAATAGAGCTCTGCTTGTGTTGTGGAGTGAAAGATGTTTTTTTTTTTTTGGTTGCTTTTCTTTTTTAACTAGTCTGCTTTTCAATTGTGTCTGTAGCTTCTTGCTGCCTTTAAAACAATTATTATTAAAAGAAACTAGACAAAGTGTTTTTGTTTTCCTTGGGTAAATACACAAAAGGGGAAATACTGGGTCATATAGTTATTCTATTTTGAATTTGTTAAGGAACAAGCATACTCCTTTCCATAGTTGGTACACAAATTTACATTTCCATTGTGTATATTCTGTGTGTGTGTATATATATATATATATATATATATATATACACATATATATATCTTATATATACATCTTCCTTATCTATTCATCTTTCGATGGACACTGAAATGATGAATACCCACCAATTGCTTCAATGTGGATAGAACTGGGGGGCATTATGCTGAGTGAAGTAAGTCAATTGGAGAAGGACAAACATTATATTGTTTCATTCATACAGGGACTATAAAACATAGTGAAAGGGATTATAGGGGAAAGAAGAGCAAATGAGTGGAAATATCAGAGAGGGTGACAGAACATGAGAGACTCCTAACTCTGGGAAACGAACAAGGGGTAGTGGAAGGGGAGGTGGGCAGGGGGATGGGGTGACTGGGTGATGGGCACTGAGGGGGGCGCTTGACAGGATGAGCACTGGGTGTTATACTATATGTTGGCAAATCGAACTCCAATAAAAAATATACAAAAAAAGGAAAGTTTATCATTGTGATATTGTTCAAATTAGGACATCAAGGAAGAGTCTTTCATGATATTCTTATTAAAAATATTATCTTAAAAATATTATCTTGATTGTAAAAAAAGTTTTCACTAACTGTGCATCAGCATTCCTTTTTCTTCAGGTGTTCACCAACACTCATTCTTTCTTGTCTTTAATTTCAATCATTCTGATTGATGTAAAATGATAGCTTATCATGGTTTTAATTTGCATTTCCCTGATGTTTAGGAATGCTGACCATCTTTTCATGTGTCTGTTGGCCAGCTGTATGTCTTCTTAGGAACAATATTTATTCAGGTCTTGTGCCCATTTTTAAACTGGATTATTTGGGGTTTTTGGCATTGACTTGTATAAGTTCTTTATGTATTTTAGATATTAACCCCTTTATCAGACATATCATTTGCAAGTATTTTATATCATTCAGTAGATTGCCTTTTTGTTTTGTTGGTTTCCTTTTCTGTGCAAAACCTTTAGTCACATCAGTTAGAAAAGATGTGTCAACTCCTATGTTTATTGCAGCATTATTCACAACAGCCAGGAAATGGAAGCAGCCCAAGTGTTCATCAATAGATTAATGGAAAAAAATAGATGAATGTATAAAAAATATGTGATACACATACAAACACAACCCTTCCCACACACACACTGGAATATTACTGAGACGTAAATAAGAATGACATTTTGCTATTTGTAATGAAAAGATTGGACCAAGAAGTTATAATACTAATTTTAAAAAGTCAATCTAAGAAAGGCAAATACCCTATGTTTTCACTCATATATGAGACTTAGGAAATTTTTTAAAATGAGCAAACAAGAAAAAAAAGAGACAATGAAAACCACCTCTGACTCCCAAATATAGGGAATAAATGAGTGACTGTGAAAGATGAGGTGGGTGTGAGGATGAGTGAAATAGAGAAAGGAAATAAAGAGTGCACTTATCATGATGAGCACCGAGAAATGTGGAATCGTTGAGTCATTATATTTTACAGCTAAGAATAATTGTATGTTAATTATACTGCAATAAAAAATGAAAGAAATTAGAAAAAGGCAAAAAAAAGATGAAATATGAGCCCCCCTGCCTTTAAGAAGCTTATATTCTAACACAATGGGTAAAGCATAGCTGTAACACAAAGTAGACAGTGTTTTCATAAGTAATATACAAATAAAGTGTCTTGGGAATTCAGAGTGGAGGATGATTATTTATGGCTGGCACAGTGGTGAGGGTTGATTGGTGAAATCAGAGAAGATTTTGTAGAGGATTGGCATTTGAGTTGGCTCTCTCCAGGGACAGATAGGATTTTCCACATATGGGTGGCAGGAAACAACTGTAGGCAGTGAGAACACCAGGAGGAAAAGCACAGGAAAACGAAGCAGTGTTCAGAGCACACTGAGCAGGCTGTATAGTTTGAACCTTGGCTATGTGAAGAGGCAACAGAGCATGCACAGGTGTCTTGCAGCCAGAGCTTTCCTCTGAGCACAAAGCACTCTGGCTTTGAACCTACAGCCCATGCTGAAAATCCCTAAGGCTGGTTCTTCTACTTGGCGACATCAGCATTCTTGGATTTTCAAGTTTCTCTACTGTTGTCTGCTTTGGTCCACCTGCTCAGAAAATGCACATCTGAGAGCCATGTGTTATGGATCCTGATCTTGTTTCCACCGTTAACCAGCAATATGAGCTTGGACAAGCCACTCAGTGCCTTCCATGATCTTCTTTTTTATCTATAACATGTGAAGTTAGAACCAAGCATTTGTAAAGTTGTGTGTACTTAAAAAAAATCCTATGATTTCCTCTGGCTCTTCTGACCTGTTATTCTCTCAACTATGTCCCTTTACTGCACGTGATCTGAACCTGCATCCTGCCCACTTATCACTAGAACTCATTGTTGGAGCTTTAGAGGTACAATAAATAAGATCCTATTTTTCCCTTCTATGTTTGGAATAAACTGATAATCAAGGACATAGAGACAGATAATCAAGCTATCAGCTTTAGATCCACAGCTTAAATTGGCTTGCTAATCCTACATCACTCAGACAGACCGACTTACTCCTCATAACAACTGACTTACTCCTCATAACAAGTAGTACTGAGCAACCTCTGCCTCCCAATACAGGAGCCTACTTTTATTAGAATTTCTCCTGTATGATCAAGTTGGAATGCATGTGTCTTTTGGGCAGGTTGGCTCTGGATAAAAAACAAAAAAACTGGAAAAGGCTAAGCTGGGTATGCTCAGTTCTATTTATACAACTCATTAATCAAAGTTACAGTGAAGAGGGATGGAGAAAGGCCAGGATTAGTACTCTGCTCAGTGATGCTCAAACTTCAGCAGGGGTCACCTCACCTGAAGGTCTTGTGAAAACAGATTGCTGGGACCCCATCACCAACATTCAGAATTCAGTAGGTCTGGGTGGGGCCGAGAACTTGTACTTCTAACAAGGTCACAGGTGATGCTGATGCTGCTGGTCCAGGGGCCACACTTTAAAGACTCAAAGCTCCATCTGAAGGCCTTGATGATGTAAAAATGAAGTGAGGGAAACAAAGGTGCACTTTCATTGTCTGGAAATTTTAAGGAGGAGGAGAGTATTTATACACTTTGGGATCAGGATGGAGCTGTGCTTGGATACAAAGGGATTGATAAAATTTCTAGGGATGTTACATTTAAAGTCCACTTCTGTGAAATGTTGAGAACTTAAAAATAATTATTAAACAGTCTCATTAGCCTTCCTCTCCAGTATTTATCAGACTTTTAGTGAAGCAACTGGTATCTAAACTATCTTTGAAGTTACCCAGGAGGAGCTGCAAGGCCAACTTCTTGATTGGCAGGAGTGTTAACACCCAACCACAGGAACCAGTGTTAACACCCAACCAGGAACCAAAGCTTAACTGCCTTGGAAAAATGTTTTGAAAGGAAAGGTCCAGAGTGAGGGCACTACCCATCTCAGAGACAGAAAAGTGAACACCATGACCTCCAGGACAAAAAGAGAGTGAGTGGAGCTATCTGGAAAAGCAAGACTACCTGCAATTTCATGGGTGGATTGTTGGATTTGACAAGAGTTCTTTTTTGGGAACTTGGGATGGAACTTTTGTTTGGAGTTAGGAAGGAGCTCAGAGACTGAGAGAAACACAGGGAGGAGAAGGGAGGGAAGGGGGAACCAGGGCCATTATGGAATCCATACAAACTGGCTTCATGTACCCTGGCCCCTCTCTACATTTCTTGAAGCACCTCTCCTGGGCCAAGTACCTCCTTTGGGAGAAACTATTTCCTACTTAAACTGAGATTCACAGACCCAGGCCTCTCATTAGGAAATATCCTCAGAACACTCTTGAAATAGATGCTGATGTATGTTCTAGTCTCCTGTTTATTACACCTCTATTTGGCCCTTTCACTATTTTTAGAAATAAATAAATAAATAAATATTCTAAAAAGTCTTCTAGGAATCTCAGGATATAGCGGTCAGTCAATACAGCTCTATTTTAATTGCCTCTGTTCTAAATGCCACTTATGGCTGCTTGGTACAATTACAAGCAGACCCTTGTCCCAGGTAGTGAGGGTTGAAAGTGTAAATATAGAAGTCAGAAAGAGGAGGGCATACATGGATCCTGATGCTTCCATATGGATGCTCTTAGACTGTAAAGGAACTTAAGGGACACACCCAGGATACCACCAGATTAAACGGGAAAATTAGTTTCAGCTGACCATCAGGACGGGCTATAAGAGCTGGAAGGAAGGGGAGGAAGGTCGGAGATGAAGATCAGTCAGGAATGGATTAAGAAAGGTTCCTCAATGTAGCGGAAAGGCTGTAGAATAGAATTGAGAGGAGGTATAGGATCAAGACTGGACAGAAGGAGTAAGGAGGGCCTCCCTGAAACTGTAGACAACTTACCCAAGCCAAAGGCTCATCCCAGAAAAAGTATGTCATCATGTGAAGAGCTAAAGTGAGGAAGGAGGTGATGGGCCTGAGGGTAGGAGTATTAGGGTGGAGCTCTGGTAGCTGGGTCAGAGTTTCTGGACTGAATAGAAACCATTGGAATAATGCAAGAGTATTGCTCAGAGAAAGGGAATTTATGAACATGGTGTTTGAGGATGATATTTCTCTTGAGGATGTATGGTTATAAGCTGGATTGGTAGACTCTCTCAGGATTCCTAATCATGGGTTTGCTTTCTCTACTGTAGAGTGGCCTGTTCATTGTTTGTTTTGCCTGCTTCTATTGGAGTCATAAAATGTGATTCTTTAATTCCCAGATATTTTGTTCTTTGGGTTGCTTCTCTGGGATCTTCATACTGTGTCTAGGGGCCCACTTTCCCTCATCGTCAGTAAAAGTGGGAAGAGCACAAAGACCACCCTGAACAACACAGCCGGGGGAAACAGAAATTATCTAAAACATTAGCCCTCTCTGACCCTGCCATTCAGATGGTCCTCCTTGGGAATCCTGCTCAGGATCCATGAATGGACTTCAGAAGAATGAATGACATTTTTTTGAGGTGACCAACCTGAAAGGTGTCTCTGATTCAACAAATGTGAAGAACCACTATTGTGACTTTGTTGAGGGTAGGTGGCTGGGGGCAGTCCCCCAAAGAGAGAAACATGGTACAAGCATCCTTAGTGCTAACTACAGAAGCCTCCAAGGGCAGCTGAAAGAGCTGAAGGAGAAAGAATTGGGAAAAGGGAAATGGATTCAGAGGGAGCTAGTAGGAGGGGTGTCCCATATTCCCTGTTCTCACCCTCTTTCTAGCAGGTCCTCCTTCTTTGTATTCTGAATATCCTGAAGATTACAGGATTCTGATTCTCCTTCAATTTAAATCTATTGAGTGCCTGTAATTTATTGGGCTCTGTACTAGGTCCTCTCACAACATTATCTCTTGCCATTCCCTGTCTAACCTGCAGTGGGGTCAATCCCTCCCTGAGTAATGACATGTTCAGGCCCCTTTCAATGCATTTTATTTTCCCCATTCATTCTTTTTTTTAAGATTTTATTTATTTATGCATGAGAGACAGAGGGGGGGGGCAGAGACACAGGCAGAGGGAAAAGCAGGCTCCATGCAGGGGGCCTGATGTGGGACTCAATCCTAGGTCTCCAGGATCACGCCCTGGGCTGAAGGCGGCACTAAACCACTGAGCCACCAGGGCTGCCCTTCCCAGTTCATTCTTACCTCTATTCTCATTTCCCCTCCTCACTGGAAGCACTTGCTGTAGTCTATATAACAAATGCTTTCCAACCCATGCTTTACATGTGTATTTAGATATAGTCAATCATTTACCAAATATAGTCCTGCTTGTGTTAGGCACAGATATAGATGTGGGCATACAGCCAGGAGCAAAACAACTTTAAAAATGTCCTGCTTTCATGTAGCTTACACTCTTATGGAGTGAGACAAATTATGAAAAAATAAATGAGTAAAACATATACTACCTTAAATAGTGACAAGTACTATGGAAAAATGAAGGGTAGGGAGATGTCATCTGTCTGTGGTTAGGAACAGGCCACGGTTGTATGTGGGGTGATTCATGAAGGCAGTGTTACAAACTTGCTATTTCACCAAATGCAGGGAATATCTGGGCTAGAAGTGGTGCAGTAATAGTGGACGGCAACAAAGGCCCTGAAGTAGGGTCTTACCTGGTATGTTAGGAGGCCAGTGACTAGAGAAAAATGAGTGGGAAGAGAGAAAAACATAAGATGAAAGTAGCTGGGTCAGTGACAAATACTGTAGGACTTTGTAGGTCATTATAAATGCAGACTCTGGATTCTATTCTGAATAAAAAGAGAAACCAGTGGAAGGTTTTGAGCACAAGAATAATATGACATTTGACAATTTTAATAGGTGTATTTGTCTTCTTGACAAATATCCAGCAGTTGTTGGTTGTTTTTATGCTGACATAAATGGCTTTGTGCTATACACATCATCCAGCTTTTACTTTTGCTACCTAATGCTGTTTCTGAGATCTATCCAAGTTGCTGTCTATAAATCTACTTTATTATCTCTGACTTCTGTGTAATATTTCATTGTGCATACATGGCACATTTTAATTATTATATATTCCTCTAGGAACAGACACTGGCACAGGTCCTACATCCTGCCACAAATAGTCCTGTGATTAACATGCTTAATGGGCTCCTTATGGACTAAGGAGAGAGTTTCCTGGAGGTGTGCACCTGGGAGAGGGGTTGTGGGGTGGGACGGTATATGGTGCATCCTTAATTCCACTAGAATTGTGCTTCAGGATGGTGACCCAGTGATGCTCCACCAGTGGTGTGTGATGGTTTGCATCTTCTCCCTGAATTCTCATGCTGATCCAGTGAGGAAGGTCAGGTGAGGTCCCTTATGGATGAGGAGACTGAGGCTTAGAGACAGTGAGGAAATTCCCGGAGTCCATGTGGTCTGTGGAAGGGCCAAGTCTCATAGCCAGCCTTTCCTCCATAATGGTCATTGCTCTTACCTCCATGGTACCCAGCACTACCCCCTCCAGAAATAAAAGGAGGCATCCACAGGCAAAGAGGCTATTATTTCCATTATTATAAATATTGCATTTTTTGATGTCTGGTCTCACTCAGTAAGCCTAGGACCCCCCAAGTGTTTAGCACCATGGAATGACACTAGAGGGACAAGCCCAGGTCAGATGAAGGAAGGAAGGAGATGAAGGAAGAGCAGTAGGAACCACAGAAGGGTTTGAAGCCTGGGGGTGGGTGGAGGATATCTCATCAAACTTGTTATGTAGAAAAGGTCCATGACATAAGAACCGATCCTCCTTGTCTATCTCATGTGCTTCTTAGTTAATCATAATACTGGAGCTGGTGAGTGGCAAAAAGGAGTCTAGATGGATTTGTGGACAGAAAATCTGTCCCATAACCCAAAGATTTCTTTTAACAATGTATAGAGAAGAGTTTTCAATTATTTTCTTGTGGTTTTTTTTCGATTTTTTATTTAAATTCTACCCAGTTAAAATATATGGTAATATTGATTTCAGGAGTCGAATTTAGTGATTGATTATTTACATTTAATACCCACTTGTCATCAAGTACAGTCCTTAATACCCATTACCCTTTTAGCCCATCCCTGTCCATCTCCTTCAATCAACCCTCAGTGTGTTCTATATTAGACTTTTCAAATTTGACTTGATTTTTTTTGCCTTTAGAAACCTCTACAAACATTTCCTAAAATTCTCTCAAAATCGAACCCTGAGTAGGGAAGAGAGTGGGGACTGCATCACTTAGTTTTCTCTGTTCTCCAGAGTCCTTTTTGGGGCATTGCTGTGAATTTTCCATCCAAAGCCTTGATCTCCTTGTGGAGCTGATCATTTAAATAGGAGCAGGGTAGGAGAAGGTAGGAAGAACCACATGGAAGGTATGTTCATTAAATATATATATATATATATATATCATATATATGATATATATATATATGATATATATATTCAGACAATGGTTTGAATGAATTAAAAATAATTCTTTTTGAAAAATTAGCATGGAGTTATAATTGAGTATTTTGACACAAGCTCACAGAGCAGAGCAGGGTCTCCAGGCCCCTGAGAGCTGACATCACAGATGGCACAGGGTGTGTACAGAGAGCACAGTGTGGCCAGTAAGGAGACTATCTACAGAAGTGAGCTCACCTTCTCTCCTGGAGCCCGGAGAGGGAGGAGACTCTCCCTCCCTAGGTTGTGGGCTACTGAGCTAGGTGACTTATTTTTCTCCCTACCCATCACATTCTCATAATTGTGGATATAAAAACTGTGAATTTTGCCTGATTGCTTTGGGTGAGGTGTATTGAATGTCAGAATTCACAAAACCACCTTCCTGGCTCCTCTCCCTCCTCAGTACTGGACTCTGGAGTGGCTGCTGCCCCCATTTCTGCAGTATTTCCTTCCCAGGCAGCCTGGTCCTCTCCTCCTTGCAGGTGGTTATGAAGGCCCTGCCCCTTTCTCCCTCCTCCTCTCTGTTCACAGCACCCTTGTGGTCCCATGTGGGTAAAGGGAAGGGGTGGTCTATACATTCTTGGCCACCAGGACAGCTGAATGGATAATGCAAAACAAGGAGAAAGGGGATCCAAAGTCCATCTGACCTTGGCTAGCTGATGTAGGGGCTAAGGGTTTATGAATGGGGAAACAAATTTGTATTTTAACCTCATATGATATTTTTAGAATGGGTCTATAATTGCAATGAGGCCGTCCAGTCTGTGAATTTTATGTCATAACTCATGCTCAAGCACTGTACATGCATCCCATGTGAGAACTACTGTATGATACCTTTATGCCCTGTTGTGTCTCAGAGCTTAATTAGTACATAAGGCTACATGAGTTAGATGAACCTAAGTGGGAATGTATCATGTGATGTGTTATAAAGCAGAAGGTTGGGAGCCATTGGCCCTTTTTCTGGGGGGAAAGCAGGATTGCTTTTTCTATGATGTCTTTTGGTGTTCTGTGATATTTGTGCTGCAGTAAGTGACATGGGACTTCTGAGCTTTAGCTGGTTGGTTGAACACCATTGCTCAATAAATATGTATTGTTTACTTAGGCACTATGGAAGGATAGCACATAACAGGAAAAATTTGAAGCCGTAGCTTTGAAGCCTGAGCAATGGGCCTTCGCAGCCCCAACCCAACTCAGCTTAACTCAGCCTCATCGAACCTGATCCCAGACTCTCCACTCCTGGACTTGCTCCAGCTCTCTGATCCTAGAATCCTCTTCAATTCCAGCTAGAATGCTGTGTCAGGTACTTCGCAGAATTGGCCAAAAGCTGGTACACAGACGTATACTGGAAGAAGACGTGAATGGGTTCGCCCCTGCCAGAAGACTGAGCACTCTGGATTTAGTGGCACTGGGTGTGGGCTGCACAGTGGGGGTAGGTGTGTATGTCCTGGCTGGTGAAGTGGTTCGAGATCAAACAGGACCATCCATACTGATCTGCATGTTGGTAGCCAGCCTATCTTCTATGTTGGCTGGTCTGTGCTATGCAGAGTTTGGTGTCCGGGTTCCTCATGCTGGCTCTGCATATCTCTACACCTATATCACTGTAGGTGAACTCTGGGCTTTCATCACTGGCTGGAACCTTATTGTGTTCTTTGCTGCTCATACAGTTACTGTGGCCCAGGCCTGGACCTTAGCTTTTGACAATTTGCTTGGAAACCACATTTCTCAGACCCGGCAGGAGAGTATTTCACCGAATGTTCCCCAAATCCTTGGAGAAATTTTAGGCTTCATTGTTGTGGGCCTTGTGTTGTTGCTCATGGAATTGCTGACTCTTAGGAATAGGTGGTTTTTCCTACTTTCCAAAGTGGTCACATTAGTGAAACTTTTGGTTCTCAGTTTTGTCATCATCTCTGGCTTCATGAAGGGGGACCTGCACAACTGGAAGCTGACAGAAGAGGACTACAAAAAGGCTGGACTCAATGACACCTCTAGCTTGGGCCCTCTGGGCTCTGGAGGATTCATGCCATTTGGCTTCCAGGGGATTCTCCATGGATCACCTACCTGTTTCTATGCATTTATAGGTTTCAGCATTATTATTTCCAGAGTTGAAGAAGCCCAGAATCCTGAGCGTTCCATCCCCATGGGCATTGTGATTTCACTGCTCATCTGCATTTTGGTGTACTTTGGTGTCTCTGCATCACTTACACTTATGGTGCCTTACTACCAGCTCCGACCTGGGAGCACCTTGCCTGAGGCATTTCTCCATATTGGCTGGGCTCCTGCTCACTATGCTGTAACTTTTGCATTCCTCTGTAGTCTTTCTGTCAGCCTCTTTGGCTTTATGCTTCCCATACGTAATCTGATATACATGATGGCACAGGATGGCCTCCTCTTTCCTGTACTTGCCAGCATCCAAACTGGCACATACACCCCCAATGTGGCCACTGTGATCTTTGGCATTATTGCAGCAATCATGGCATTCTTCTTTGAACTCACTGATCTTCTGGACCTCATGTCAGTTGGGGCCCTACTAGCTTACTCCCTGGTGGCTCTTTGTGTTCTTATCCTCAGATATCAGCCTGAGATGAGGTATGAGAGAAATGGAGTGCAGGTGCAGGATGAGAATGAACCTGCAGCAGAGAAGCTGACTCTACAGGGACTGTTTTTTCCAGGCAGCCCCACCCCTACTCCACTGTCTGGCCAGGTTGTCTCTGTTTGCTCCTCACTGCTTGCTCTACTTCTGACTCTGCTTTGCCTGGTGCTGGCCTGGTGGCCAGGTCTGCTTTCTGGAGACCCAGTGTGGATCACAGTGGTTGTGCTGCTCCTGGTGCTCATCACTGGGATCACTGGGGTCATCTGGAGGCAACCACAGAGCTCCTCTCCCCTTCACTTTAAGGTACCTGGTCTGCCTCTCCTTCCACTCCTGAGCATCTTTGTGAATGTTTGTCTTATGATGCAGGTGACAGCTGTCACCTGGGCCCTACTTGGTGTTTGGATGCTGATTGGATTTGCTATCTACTTCAGCTATGGGATCCAGCATAGCCTGGTCCCTTAACCCACTTCGCTTAGGGCCCAAACTGTAGACCTTGAACTCAGCAGTGCCAGTACATATGTGGTTTGATATTATCACACCTGAATGCTTCTGATCCCCCTGCACAGTAATGGAGAGTACTTTTGAGCACATGAAAAGCCAGGCCTCCCATGGGTAGTTGATAGAAGAACACTAATGCAGCTCTGTATTTATTGTGAAATGAAGGATGTGTTTATGTTCTTTCTCCTTTTTTTTTGATATACTTTTCAATTGTGCCTGTACTGCATACTGGATTTTATAAGGTTATTATTAAAAGAAACTAGACAAAATATTTTTGTTTTCTTTGGGTTAATATTCAGTAGTGGAAATACTGCATAATATGGTAGTTTTATTTTTAATTTTCTGAAGAACTTCCAGAATGATCTCCATAATGGCAGCAACAATTTACATTCATGCTGACAGTTCGTAAGGGCTCCTTTTTCTCCACATCCTTGCCAACACTTGCTATTTCTTGCCTTTTTAATTTTACCTATTCTGTGTAAAGTGATACCTCAGTATAGTTCTAATATACATTCCCCGATGATTAGTGATGCTGAGCATTTTCCATGTGCCTGTTATCCATCTGGTATGTCTTCTTTGGAAAATGTTTATTCAGGCCCTCTGTCCATTTTCTATTGGATTAGTTGTCATTTTTTGGTCTTGGATGTTAACATGTTATTGGATATATCATGTGTCCTGTTGGTAAGTTGATTCTGGATAAAAAGAGAAACCCAACAAAAAAGTGAACATGGCTGAGCTGGGCACGTTCAGTGCTCTCTTCAATTCACTAATCAAAGTCACAGTAATAGAAGGGGTAGAGAGAAGCCAGGAATAGTACTCTGTTCAGTGATGCCTAAACTTCAGCAAGTGTCACCTTACCTGGAGGGCTTGTGAAAACAAAAGACTGCTGTAACTAATCCCCAGGCTTGGGAATTCAGTAGGTCTGGGAGAGATCTAGAACTTGTCCTAACAAGTTCCCAGGTAGTGCTGATGTTCCTGGTCCAGGGACCACATTTTGAAAACCAAAGCTATAGCTGAAGACCTTCCACATGTAAAGATGAAGGGAGGGAAACAATGGTATACTTTGAACATTTACCATCATTTAATTAAACATTTAGATTAAAATATGATTGTTAATCCTTTCACAGTGGGGAAATCAGTGAATCGTTTTACAATGTATATGTATAACAAATCACCACAATGTACTCATAAAATATCTTACAATTTTATGTCAGTTATACCACAATAAAGCTGAAATTTTAAAAATGAAATACCACAGTTATCTATGTATCTTTATTTTCTTTATGATTGTAAATGACAGGTAAGGAAGGTATCTTGTTTACTGCTGAGAGCATCCAGCTGGGGGACAGGCACATAATGAGCATTTAATAAGTTCATCTTAAATTTAATTGAGCCTTACACACTTTGGTACAGAGAAGTCTTCTTCCTTTTAGGCTAGCACTGTGCTATTCCTTTAAAGCTATCTTCTGGGGGGGGATCCCTGGGTGGCGCAGCGGTTTGGCGCCTGCCTTTGGCCCAGGGCGCGATCCTGGAGACCCGGGATCGAATCCCACATCGGGCTCCCGGTGCATGGAGCCTGCTTCTTCCTCTGCCTGTGTCTCTGCCTCTCTCTCTCTCTCTCTCTCTCTGTGACAATCATAAATAAATAAAAAATAATAAATAAATAAATAAATAAATAAAAATTAAAAACCATACAAAAAAAAGCTATCTTCTGGGAGACTTCCTTGACAAACAGCATTTCTCTCCATCCAGAACTATATCTGGAAGTGCCCCTAGACTTGTACTAAGCATCTAGAACTGTACCCAGGCATTTCTAGTTTTGCCTTTGTGTGGCTGGCCTTGAGTTCTTGTCACTATCCTGTCTGTTCCATCAGAGTGGAATCTTTCTCAAAGCAAGGAATAGGTTCTTGCCTTCCTCTAGATCCAACATTAAGAACAGTGTTGTTCATTCAAAGAGCAACAGGAAAAATATAACCATGGGGCAGGATACCTGACATGACTCCACCTGCTCCTGCCCCATCTGTTCCCATGGAATATGAGGAGGCACTGGAAGCAATGAAATTGATAGAAGCTGTAACCAGCTCTACCTGACTCCAGGAAATCCCTCAAGATGAGACTGGCTCCAGTGTGGGCACAAGAGGCATCTTTCTTAATGCAGAGTTTTATGATTCACATAGAAGGGCCAGTGTTCTTCTATTTGTATTGATATTTGAGGTCTGCCCTGAGAGGGAGGTACTTTCTTACTTGTGGAATTTCTCATGTTCCCAACAGGGAGTAGGTGACTCCAGACCTGCTAGAGGTAGGATTATTTATATATTTACTTGCTTCTTTAAGATTCTTCTTTGAGGGACTGGTGCTAAAACTTTGTGAGAGCATCTAAGATATCTCAGTGAGAGAGAATGTACACCCCCAATGCGGAATAAAATGGACTGACACAGGAGGAATTAATAACAGGATAGGGATTGAGGCATCATTACTTTGGAGGGGAAGGTATGAGTAGAAACTGAAAGAGAGGTTTTGGTCAAGAGATACTTCCTGGAGGAGGATGCTAATGGGGCAATTTGGTAAATAAAAGAGGGATAGATGAGTTGAAAAGGAAATAGGACAGTAATTCTAGGCTACCTGGACCTTTAAGAGTAATGAAGGAATGAGAGTCTTGTGAGGGATATGTTTTCACATTTGAAAAGAATTTATAAGCCAGAAGAATATAATTTGTATTGTCTATTGTGCCATGGAGCAAAATTTCTGAATCAGGAAGGGATGAGATATGATTCTCACAGCCACCTAGAGAATAGACAGAAGTATGTGGATGGATAGACTCTTTCTGGGAGACAGTTGTAGCAACTGCTACAGTCATGTAGATCCTGCTCTTCTAATGTGGTCCATGAACCAACAGCATGGGTGTCACCTGGGAGCTTGATAGAAATGAAGCATCTTAGGCCCCAACCCAGACCTACTGAATCAGAAGCTGCATTTTCAAAAGGCTCCCAAGTGATTTGTATGCTCATTTACGTTTCAGAAGCACTGGCCCAAGATGATTGATGATATCTGGGCTCAGATGAGCACTATAGAAGGTCTGACAACTTCAGAATTTGGAGCACAGAGGAGGGTCCTAGGCTGGGGAAATTGAATTTGGGGAAGAGAAAGAAGTGTGGGCCCTGGCTGCCCTCCTGTCTCCAGGCTTCCCACACCAGTCACTATGGCAGGGTTCGGCATTCTGCCCACTTTGGAACAATACCTATTGTGCCTTCGCAGGGCTACTTGGTCTTCAGGGGCTCTCCTGGGGCAAACATTGCATGAGTCGGGACTGCTGCCCATTCTCTTACCCCTTCTTCATATGATGGCCTGAAAGGGACTGGGGAGGTCATTTTAGTCATGCCCACCTCAGGTTTGTGCTGAGGAGACAAAGGAGGTTGCATGGATGAAATAGGAGTTCTTAACTACCTGTCCTGGAAATTAATATACTTTCATCTTTCAAAAGCTTTAAGGATACATCAGATGACTGCATGAGGAATTATATCCTGGTAGGGACAAAATTAATGCTTTTTAAGGGATTTTTTTATTATTCTTAGTGGATTAATAATAAGGTACATGAGACCTATAATTCCAGAGATGTAATGAGAGGCAATGGAACAATGTTACCAAATGGGCATTTGAGAATTTTCCTAGGCTTTTAAGGGCTTGTTTACTTTATCCCTAATCAGAATGTGTGATTAAAGACAGGCCAATATTGAAGGAAAACAGATTGAGATTGAATATAAGGAAGAATATTCTGAGATTAGCAAGGTGAGGGTGCAGGCTATCTGGCCATGTGCATGGCTGTCTCACTTGGGTTTGGAATGTTTCAGATGAGCTCCTGCCCAGAAACAGCAAAGTGTACAAAATGAATTCTCAAAATACTTTTTTTTTTAATCCCAAGAAATCTCCAGTCAACTTGTCAAGTGAAAGAGTGGGATGGATGTGTGGTATATATAAAGTGGTAAGGAATGGGGATAATGAATGACAAAAGAGAAAGAACATTAGTGCATTGAAATCTGTCAAAAATTGTGATCAGGTCTTAGATTTAGGAGAATAAGTTGCATGTTAGGGCTCAAATAAGAGTTTTAGGTTTCCACATTCTTCCTCTCTCCATGTATTTGGATTACCTCATTGATGAGATTTTAAAACCTCCTAAGGGAATCAGAACATCTCTGTTATATATTACTTCTTTATATCTCCAGAACCCACAGAGTGATGATGATAGCTACTATTACTGAGTAGTCTACCCAAGCACTTTGCATAATCACCTATTTGATACAAAATCTGTAGGAGTTGAGTATTACTATGTTCACTTTACAAAACATGAAACTAAAGCTAAGGAGGTGCAAAGTACAGTGAAGTAATTTGTGCAAAATGAGTAATGAAGCTAGGATTTGTACCAAGCTTGAGCAAAGCTCCTGTTGCTAACCCTTGAGCTATACTGTGCATGGAGTAGTAGCTCAGTAAGGGGTAGGTGATACTGAGACCTGATGGCATACAGGCAATTAAAATACAGGGGATAATTCCAAATAATGAATAATGAAAAATCAATTTCAATTTGTGGCATGTAGTCAGAGACACACTTCGTGACACATGCAGCTCATACCCAGATACTCTCTCTTCACCTTCACTGTGCACCACCCTGCAGTCAGGAGCTTGGAAAGGGCAAGAGGCTATCTAGTATATTGATAATTGAAAGTCCTGTGTGTGTGTGCCAGGTATATGGACATATGTTATTGAATTTGAGCGGGAATAAGCACCAAAGAACGGGGTACATTTTTCTCGGTAGGCCTAGTATGTTTAGCTATAGTATGTGTGCCTGTGTGTGGTGTGCATGTGTGTGTGCACATGTGCACAATTCCTGAAGGAGATCAACCAGCTATAAGGAACTAGCTGCCTTCCCTCCTGTTGCTTCCAAGTCTGGCTTGGAAGGTTCAGGAACTGAA